ATACAACACAGCAGCACTTCATGAGCTAAAGTTTTGTATTACATTTAGGCCATGAAAATCTAAGGACAGCAATATAGTGAGTCTTGCAGTTCTCAGCATTTACAAATATTGTAGGAGTTAACATGGAAATGATGTGTTATTCATGGAAATTACTACACAGGTAGTACCTTTATAATAAAACAATCTATCTGAAACAGATAAATGTTCACTTCTGCAAATTGAAGATGAAAGATCCAGCAAAGTAGATGTTACCTGCACCATGCATTTCACTTGTTTATATGGCAGGGATCATGTAATGAATTTTTATTATGTACAGTTCAATTTGCAGTAGCTTTTTTTCACCAAATGTCACTGTTGAACAGGTAGCTTTTTATTCAAAATGGTCCAGGTTTAAACCTTGGCTCCAAGACTGGATTTTGTGAGGTTATTTTAGATTTTCCTGACCTATATATACATAGCTCTGTGGCACCTCAAATTAGACAACTGCTTCCTTCCACACCCATTCCATTCATTATTCACTCATCATCTTATGCCATTACATGCTATATCATCTGGAAAGTGTCATTAAATAAACCATAAATACACAACACAAACATTTCATTTTAAATTTCCACTTGACTTTATCCATTTTGATAGCTAAGTCAGTATAGCAGCTACACTGCAAGATGGATGACCGAGGAATATGAATTTGATTTGCTTCTCCAGCGTGTCCGTATCAACACAAGGGCCCACCCAGGTCTCTGTCAAATGGATACCAGTGGCCTTTTCCCTGGGATAAAGCAGCCATGGTGTGAAGGTGGACCACTAACCTCCATCTAGTGCCGAGGTTAAGAATACCTGGAGCAATGCCTCAAGTCCGACATACGTGTTGATGCTTAATTAAACACAGAGACTTTACCTTTACTTTCATCCTCCAACTACATTTAGATTCAAACCCCTCTTTAAACTCAACTTTAAGTATGTCCCCCTTCCAGACCTGTCTCAGAGTTGTCTCCTACTTCCAGAGGAACAACATGAATTTGAAGTTGAGTTAGTCTGGGATAATTCAACTGCAATGATGTTCTGTGTATGCTGTGTGGCAGGTCATTCTTTACAAGATGCTTATAGAATAAATTCTCATAAACTTTTGTGGTAAATTTCTTCTGCTATGTGATGTCATGTGGTCTAGTAGACTGTTACCAACATTTTGAAACAATCCGCCACCTCATCTTGAGAACAGAAGCATGAATATAGGGAAAAGAGGTTCATCTGACATGTGGTGTCTTCCCAGCAGACTAAACAGGGTCACACCCCATGCAACAGTAATCTTCTCAACCATCGCCATTAGAAATTCAAATCTCACATGTATGTCCTTCACTAGGTACAAGCATCATGAGAGCATGCACCAAAATCCAATGTCAGAGGCAGTCTAGCTCTTTGGAAGTTCTGCAGAAGGCGACTGAACACACCTTACTCTGTAATACTGTGACCAACCTCAAGAAACACTAGCGAGACGTCTCAGCTGAAGGATTTTAGCTCACATCTTGTGGAGAGAGTGTGTCAGAGCCCAGCTCTTCAGAATATCTACCAGAGGTTATGCAATGCGTCCTCGTTGGTGGTACAGCTACTGGTCTGCAGTCACTAGGCAGGAGAGTCAATTCCAGGGCTTCGAGCCAGAAACCAATGGGGAGAGTGCATTAAGAGCACAACTGCAGACAGATCCCTGCCCTTCTTTACCAGTTACTGAATGCTTTATCCTCAGCAACATTATGATGGACATTGTAGTAGCACTACACAGAACAGACATCAGCTATAGGATCTCCATATGTAGCTCTGTGGAAACATTCATTCTGATACGTCTGTAAACTGTAGTGTGACAGACCGCCTCTGTGTTCTAGTGGTCAGATCCAGAGGTCCTGGGTTCGATTCCTGGGGCTGCCAAATTTTCTGAGAATCAGTGGGTCTGGAGCGGGGTCCACTCAGCCTCGTGAGAATAACTGGGGAGCTACATGAATGAAAAAGGAGCAGCACCGGTCTAGAAAACCGAAATTAATGGCCGTAGGGATTCGTTGCGCTCACCACGTGACACCTTCTATCTGCTAAATTGGTACTAACTTCGCCGACAAGCAGTGGTCGCTCGGTCAGTATAGTTCACTTGCAGACTAAAGCCACAGAGTTTTTTTTGTTTTTTTTTGTAGTGTTACATTCATCTGGTGGGCATTCATAGAGAACAATGTGACAAAACTAATGGTCATGTTATGGATGGCCCTAGAGAGGCAAGTCAGGTTTGGGGTAATGCACACAGAAGAAACAGATATGCTCTCACATACAGTGTGACTCATTTTTGTTATGGAAACCAGCAAGACTGGTGAATCCAGCCAAATATGTCCTGACCCAGTCAGACCAAAACTGCTTTGGCATACGGTTTGGGAATCATTTTGCTATAGAAATAAACTAGACTTAGTGTAATGGACCCAGGCAAAACAAATGTGCCCCAGCACACAATCTGTAAACTGTTCTTTTACAGGAGTTGACCAAACTTAGTGTAATGGACCCATCCAGGCCTAGAATAATGGTTGTGGCCATAAGTATGCATACGATTTTTTATTTTATTACAGAATCCACCCAGTCTTAATGTAATGGACTGAGCCCCACTACATATGCCCTGACACACAATTTATTAATGACCCTTATATCTAAATCTTCTTGTAAAGTGGCAATGATTGATAATGTGAAGGACAGATTCTATGGAGAAGTAGAATGCGTATTCGATAAATTCCCTATACCATATGAAAATTGTTATGAGATTTCAATGCAAAAGTAGGTAGGTAACACATTTTCAAACCAAAAATTGAGGATGACAATTTGCATGAAATAATGATAATAGAGTTATAGTAAACTTTGCCACATCCAAAAATGTGACTGTCAAAAGTACAAATGTTCCCACATCATAACATTAAAAAATTTACTTGGACTTCTCCTGATGGGAAGACACAACCAAATTGACCGCATTTTGATAGACAGGAGACGGAACTCAAGTATACATGATGTCCGATCATTCAGGACAGCAGATTGTGATACTGACCACTATCTGGTGGTTGCAAAAGTTAGGGAGAGACTGGCAGTGAGTAAACAAACAATGCACAGAGTTAATATAGAGAGGTTCAGTCTCAAGAAATTAAACAAGGTAGGTTGTAAAGAGCAGTTTCATGTTGAAATCTCAAATAGGTTTGCAGCTTTTGAAAACTTAAGACACTGAGGTAGATATTAACAGTCCTTGGGAAACTATTAGAATATCAAAATTATGAGACCAAAGGAAACAAGCCAGACTGCAGTGGTTACAGGATCCAAGCAAATTAAATGGGGAAAATCTGAACACTATAAGATGTAAACCCAGCAGGCTTTTCAGGAATAAAAAGAGGGAATATCTGAAAGAGAAAATTGATGAGCTTGCAATGAACAGCAAGAACAAGAACATTAGAGACCTGTATAGAGGAATAAATGACTTTAAGAGGGGTCACAAACCTAGAAGTAACTTAGTGAGGGATGAGAATGGTGATCTGCAAATTCCCACAATTTGTATAGGTGGAAGAACTGCTTCTCTTTTATTGAATGTACGTAGAGCCAGTGTTTTTAGGTAGATTGAAATACATACAGTTGAGCTGTTAGCACATGAACCTAATTCTTTTGAGGCTGAAATTTCCATTGCAAAGATGAGAAGGTAAATCACCAGACAGTGATCAAATTCCAGCAGATCCGATTCAAGCAGGAGGTGAAACATTATGGTCTGAAATCCATAAATTCATTGATTCTATTTGGAATAAGGAAGAATTGCCTGATCAGTGTTTTCCATGGGGTCCATGCCAAGGAATTATAAGAGAATCAAATTCCGAGGCTGGCAGTTGTAGGACTACAATGGAGAACAGAGAATGAGAATGGAGCGTGTCCTAGTGATTTGTGAAGTGAGTAGATTAGCGATAGCTCTATAATTGATCGTGATTAAGAGTGATTGTAAAAGAAGGCGTCAATAAATACAATCGTCCAAATAAAACCCCCATTATTATTCATCATGGAACCCAAACATGTGAAAGTATGTTTCTCCATAAAAACTGAAAGCTGTGAAACCAAAGGAGCAACAAAAATTTCCGAATTATATGGCCACTCTTGGGAATGCAACTACTGTCAGTCGATCATTTCATTAGTACTCCACAATTATCTCACACTATCCATGAGGTATGAAATGGGCCCGACCAACCAGCATGTCGCAACTTTATTCTTTGTTTGAATTTATTTCTACCCCAGAAGCTAGAAGGGCACAGAATAACAAAGATTAGTATTATTATTTTAGATATTAACTCTTTGACTGGCACAAAGGGTATTTAAATCTCACCCCTGTCCTGGCAGGCCCTTTAAACCTTATGTCGCTAAAATGCATGTAGTTACTTTTTCCTAAACAACTTCAACAAAAATTGGTTTTTAAAAACGAAATTTTTAGGAACTAATTAAAATACAATATTTTATGCAATAAATGCTTTTCCACACCCCTCTTTATTTGTTTTTCTTCATGTGATAAACATTGAAACATGAAAGTTTGCACTGGCACTGGTGTGGAAACTGTCACGGAGAACTTATGCATGTCAAAGTCCAGCACAGCATTAAAGAAGCAGATTGAGAAATGAAACATTATGTGAAGAAATGGATGTACTTAATCAGTGATACAAAAACTATAAAGTGTGCTGGATAGCATGACCATATTGAATTAATAAAGAATTTGAAGGTCCTTCATTTAATACTCAAATTCAATGATTCCAGTCAAAAACTGTGTGTTGAAATGCTTTCATTTAAAATTCTCAATTTATAGTTCAAATCCACTGGTACCAAAAGAATTCTTAACCAGGTGTTTCACTCTATTATGAATATTAAACACAAATGCACAAATTTAAACAACACAAGAATTCAAAAAGCTCTTAGATGTAATAATTATGGGAACTCGCACACAGGCTGAAAGGAAATTATGTAAGTCTTAATACACAATGCATGTTTTAATTGCTATATATTTGAAATTTTCACTCATACATAACCTTCTATGTGTATCTTATGAAAAATATTTGTAAGAACAGGCTATCCAGTATGAATGTGAATGGCTGAGTTTACATAATCATCATGCTTGATGTAACAGCATCTAGACAGAATGCAACAGAAAGTTGAGAAATATAAACAAGAAAATACAATGATCAGAATACTACATTATACCAATAGCTTCTATGGTACTAAATTGGCAATATAATATGCTGAAGTATCACATTTACTCCAGCCAACAATTGAAGTTTCAATCTTTTTTCAATTTTTTAGAGGTTCGTCTTCAGATCCTCTATTGGGAAATACACTTGCATTAAGTTCTCATAAATTTTCACATCTTCTTTCAAAAACAGACAGAAGATAACACGATCAATCTGCAAAAGATAAATAATCTACATAATTGACATAGCATGATAATACTCAGAAAATGTACACACACACAGCATATGCATCTAAAACTAGACTGGAACCTCAATTTAAGGTTTATTTGGGGATTTGATGAGTAAACTGAGTAAAACTGTAAATGCAGGTAATTTAATATCAATATTACTGACTTGGGATCCCTGAAACTGAATATTAAATGAGGTAAAACCTTAAATCAGGAAACACTAGCTCAAGGGTCCACTGCATCTGAGGTACAATTGTCATATGGACCTCTGAGGTTCTGTTTTACACAAGTTTTATTACGCACATCTGAAGATACACACTTCCGAGAAACACTGTGCAGAAAACCATTTCAATGTATGCCTATATATGAGATCAGAGGATTCAATGGAGGTGAGTATTTTTATTGTGATCTGGGTTATGATGCCTCATGGTCTCATGGTAGCAGAAAGCAGTTTCCATCAAAATAACACCTACAAGACTACATAGCACAATAACTCAGAAGATCACAATCTATAAATAAACAAAAAAATTAAATAAGTAGGTTATGGACTGGATTTATTTAACTCCCGTGAACATAGTAATGAGCATTCAGGTTCCATAAAATGTTGGGAAATTCTCGACTAACTGCACAACTGGTAGCTTCTCAAGAAGGGCTCAGCTCCATGGAGTTACATGTAGCATGTCAAAACGATATAAATATATTAAGTACTCATCATCTGTCATCTGGGGCCGGTACAATAGGCCAAATAGTGACCAACATATGAAGTGGACTGAGTCTCACCTGACCTTCTGAAATTAAAAAAAAAATCATATTGACTTCTGGGATATGACGCCGTATAGTCTGTTAGATACATACCAATGTCTCAGAGGAACCTATTATCTCAATCTTGAAGTTAGGAGAAGGCACTGTACTGTCTTACTCCTTGGCTCTCCATAAGCTTAGTCTCCTCACAACAGCTTCCTGTTCTTCTCCAACATTTGCCTTCTGTCTCCATCTCTTCACCCTCACCGCCTATAAAACCTTCTCTGCATCTTCCAGCCATCTTGATCTGGACCTCTTATCGTTCCTGTACTGAATAACTGAGTACATTCTGAGAAGCAAGTCATAACTCACGGTCTTAAAATCTCTCCCTAAATTACTTATCTATTTTTAAGTTTCTTAACATGTACAGTTTTCCAAGGTGAGATTCTCAGACTCTCAACCAGGAGGACCAGTGGCTACCTTGTGTCTTGATCTGTTTGAGTGAACCTACCCTTATGGCCCCACTAGCACAGCCTTCCACATGATTAGGGCACACAAAGAACCCCTGCAACACATATGCCTGTCCACTAAACTACGCGGCATCACAACCCATAAAATCAAAATCTTAATACTCACTATTATATGAATCTCAAATCTCGTATGATGAAATCCTTATTCTCATGCCGTTACTAATATAATAATGGATCTTACCAAACCCGGGTTCTTTTCCAAAAAGTTCCTCACTGTCTTGAGAGCAACATGAGCAGCTGCTTCCTGAGGATATCCTAAAGAAAAGCATACACGTAAGTATTGGCCCTCAGTAGTTGAGAGTCAAATGACATGACAAAGAAGTCCAAGGATTCAGAGCTTTCATTGGAACTAATGTAATATATCTGCTCAGGTGATCAGCCACATCAAATCAGAGCAGAAGTCCAATTTTTGAAGACTCTGTCTGCTTCCATTCACTCCCTGATGACAGAGGCAGAGAAAGTCTGACTTACACTGTGAACTGACATGACTATTTCCTGCATGTACTTTTACTTACTACAAAGGTTAACACATCTTTTTTAATTTAAACTATCCTTATGGACACATGTTTATGTTACATCACTCTTTCCCTTATTTAACCTTTATCATATAGGAAAAGAGAAGTTAAATCCTGGGGTTCATGGCCAAACTTTTGGGACAAGGATTAACTATACTGAGACCATGGAAAGAAGACACATGGATTCGACACTTCTCGCATATTCTTCAGCTGTTACACTTTTCACCTGTCCTGACTTTCTTCCCCAAGCCATTCAGTTAACAGGGATATTGGTAGTGATAACTTTTGCCAATAATAAGTGTTTTGGGCTGGCTGAGATATATTGAAAGGGAACACAACAGTAGGCAGGGAAAAGATAGCTTCAAGTGCCACAAATGGACTGGATTTGCCCTAATCAGAATATGTACATTGGCAGCAGGCTCTTATGAACAAAGGAATGAACCTTTGGATTCCACTGGGTGCTGGGAATTTGAGTAGCTGAGTGACTATTGGCTTCTCAAGGACTCTAACCCCATGAATGAATGATGTTATTTATTGTCTTGTTTCTGACTCCTGTAACTGATAAAACCTTGAATAAATGTGAAAGGAATGATCAAGTTATAGGAACTTGATCATTTCTGGCCAACAGTATCCCTATAAGAGTCTATGTTCATAAATAGCACTGGAGGAAAACGAACATCTGTACAGCGCACTGGACATAATTCCAGTGCCTAGCACTGCCATATGTAATGCTTAGCCAGCTGGTCAGTACATGCATTGCTGCAAAACTGCAACATGGCCAATATACTGTGTGTAAAACATCTCTGAGGGTGTCATCACCAGACAGCGATACTGGTCATTATGTCACTGGCATAAAGTTACCAGATTTACTTTTAATATACAGTGGGAACCAATATCACAACATTGGGGATTTCAGATACACAGGACTTCTCTACCTTAATGCTGCCTACTCAATTTATGATGTGCCCTCGAGGATGTTTCTGACGTATAGTAAAGTCTCTACACAACACAGTAAGCGTGTTATTGTCATGCTGACTGTAGTGCTCCAGCACACATAACTCAATGAACAGAGTACAGCAGTTCTTGCTTGAGTAGTGCAACAGTGTCAAACACATTTGCATTTACAGATGAGTTTAACAGAATCATACTTTACAAACTCAGAACTTACCATAAATTCCTGTTGAGATACATGGAAATGCCTGAAAAGAGAAACAAAATAATGTACAACTCTAGCTTCTGTGAATATGCCATGCAGAATGCTGAAGGTCTTTTTTTCAGCAGAAATCACATTTACTTTCTTCTTGATTAATGTCTTTGGGGAGGGGGAGTTGGTAGTTTTCATATATACATGGTGTGTTCAAAAAGTATCGAACCTTTGGTCAGCAGAAATACATTTATTGATTTGGAGGTACAAAACCCTAATCCCCTTCAAAGTAGTCTCCTTGGTAATGCACACACTTCTCCCAGCGCTTCCGCTATTGTTGGAAACACTTCTGGAACGCGTCTTTTGGAATGGTGATCAGCCGGGCCGTCACATTCTGCCCCAATGTCTTCTCTTGACTGAAATTGGGTTCCTTTCAGCAGCATTTTCAGCTTGGGAAATAGCCAAAAGTCACACGGAGACATGTTGGGGGAGTAGGGAGCCTGACGAACCACAGGGATGTTGTGTTTGGCGATGAAAGTCTGAATCAGATGCTCAGAATGGGCGGGTGCATTATCATGATGGAGCTGCCAAGTTTTTGCTGCCCACAGATCTGGTCGTTTGCACCGCACAGCATCATGAAGGTGACGAAGGACCTCGTGGTAGTATTCTTTTGTGATGGTTTGGCCTTGTGATGCATACTCATGATGCACAACCCCACGGGAGTCAAAGAAAACGGCCAACATGACCTTGACATTGCTGCGGACCTGCCATGCTCTTCTGGCCTTGGGGATGTCGGATGTTTCCACTGTGATGACTACATCTTGGTTTCCGGGTCGTACCCATAAACCCACAACTCATCACCTGTGATCATGGTGTTCAGAAAGTTGGGGTTACTGTTTGCATTGTCCAGCATGTCCTGTGCGATTTCCAGACGACGTTGCTTCTGCTCCATTAGCAGTTTCGGTACAAATTTCGCGGACACTCTCCTCATGCCCAAATCCTTGGTCAAAATTGAATGTACCGATCCAATGCTTACCCCTATCTCGTTCGCAAGTTCTTGGACTGTGATACGACGGTCCTCCATGACCAAAGTCTGCACTTGCTCAATGACATTCATTTTGGCTTGTTGAGGGTCTGCCTGTATGTGGTTCGCTGTCCACTGATGTGCGGCCATCTTTGAAGTGGTTGTACCACTCCTTTATCTGTGAGTTGCTCATGGCATCATCCCCGAAAGCCTGTTGAAGCTTGCGAATGGTTTCCACTTGGGTATCGCCAAGCTTTTGGCAAAATCTGATGCAATATTGCTGCTCATGTTGTTCCGTCATTTTACACCTTACTGGAATCCAACGAGCGCTCACTACACGTCTTCACTCACAGGCCGACTGCCAGCGACTGACGCTTTCTGCGGGTGGGAAAAAATTCACGACTGCGCATGAATGTCCCCTCCACATCTCCACCGAAGGGAGCCTCCCATGTTTCATTGGTTTACGCGGGAAAAAAGAAGGTTCAATACTTTTGAACACACCACGTATGGCAAGTCTAAATTATTGTCTGGGTTTCTGTGGCCTATACTTTTCAAACTGGAAAAAACAAAATAAAACTGCTTATGGAAGATGAAGGTGCAACTCAAAAAGTCTTACCTCAAAATGGCGAGTGTTTGAGAGAATGTGCACACTTTGGTTTTTCGAAACAAAGTCTGTTATCAAAATGCAATGTCGTTACAGAATTCAAAATGGAAAAGATCTACATTTTAGATAATGTTATCTGACAGTTAAAGCAATTTGCTGCAATGGAAACAGTTATACCATAAATGCTGGAGAACATCTGGAAGGAAATTGAATACCACTTAGACATCTTATGCGCCATGAAAATTGTCCATGTTGAAGTTGTTTAAAATTCTGCAGTACTGATTATACAAGTAATAAAACTTTGAGTTACACTTTCATATTCTCTAAGCAGTTTTATTTTGTTTTTCCAGTTTGAAAATTGCAGCCACCAAAACCCCGACAATAATTTAGAATCATGCCGTACATTTCGTAGTGGGAGATGACTTCAAGATGAAGTATGACTTGATGTAACAGAGAATTTATGTGATATTCAATGACCATATGGCTAATGAAACATGGCAGTGAAAAATGTTTCAACTATGTTATTTGCACAGCAACCTGGTCAAAAAATCATCTGTGCCTCCTATTTTCATTAACCATAAGTCTAGTCCCTATTGGATACTGTCACACCCCCAATGTCTCATCTAATTTTGGTTACACCTCCAACTCACTCTCTGTCAAGCAATCTAGATAAGAGCTTCTGAACCCACTTCTCCCATAAGACATCATAATTCAGTATTATCAGACTAACTGGTAATGGTTTTGATCAGAGAAAAAAAAGTCTGTTAACTGTTCTGACCATTATCTAAATCAAGCTACAAGTTTTGGAATGCAAGGAGTTACTTGCACCAGATGTAGGTAATTTACATCAGAATTAACTAAATATGGGAATATCTAATAGTGTGTTTATAATGGGCTTTGGTTCGGACCAGCAAAACATTTACTAAATACAGGACTTTATTAAATGCAGGAACACTAAATTTGGATTTCACTGAAATATACTATTCCTCCAGACTTCATCTGACTCTTCCTGCAACTACCTAAGAACAAAATCCAGTCCATTTCCTGCTCTATTTTTCCTCCTTCCTACCTCCATGTTTTCTCTTTATTGTGCATCCCCCTTCCCACATGTGGGGTTAACCATCAGGTCTCATACCCAAGTGACATCTTACCACACTGCGCAGTTTTTTTGCGGTTAGCACCTGGAGACAAGTCCTGTAGCAAGATTCCAGTTTCTCAGGCTTTTCACCTTGAGGTCCAACTGTATGAATTACATCTGGAAATGAAGTTATAAACGTAATTACTACAGATATTTTAAGATGCATCTTCTACCAGGTAACGAGTTTTGTGTCTGGGTACTTAACAGTCATGCTTCTTATTCCCGAGATCCCAGATTCAGTGCTCTGCTGAAGTTTCCTGAGGGCTTATAGATCACTGTGGTCACCGGTGCAAGGGCCAAGAAGGCCCACCCCTTATACATTCATTATACGGTACTGTTCAGAAATTTAAAATAGGCCACAACCTATCACATTATTCCCACTTTAATAATCAAAATCATTCACCCACTAACATTAGACAATATGAGTAGCTGAGAAAATGTCATTAAACTAAGATACTCTGTAAGCTCTTGGAGCCTGAGTAGCTCAGTCAGTACAGTGGTTACATTACAGGCTCAATGACTGGAGTCTGATTCTTAGTTTGGACACAGTTTCTTTGCCATTGTGACCAGCCCAGCTCTGAAGACCATACAAATATAAAACATATAGGTATCCCTTGACACTGATCAATCCTAACCCTTTTTCTATTTGGATGATTATAAATGACCATGAACTTTATTTATAATTGATTTTCGGTAATTTTAAACTCAAATCTTATATTGAACTGGAACTTTTATCATGATCTATAATACTGTATTCCATTGTCTTGGATGTGCAATACAGTGTTTTTGTGGAAATCTCTGGATTCTGGTAGGACCAAGAAGTCTGCAGTTCTGACATGAGCGGTCATTAATTTGGCTTGGGTACAGGAAAACAGAAGGGGCACGAGGTAGCGTAGTTGGTTGAGGCACTATGCTACAAGCTGGAAGGTCGCGGGTTCAAGTCCTGATGAGGTCATTGGATTTTTCAATTGACCTAATCCTTCCAGCTGCACTATGGCCCTGGGGTGGACTCGGCCTAACAGAAATGAGTATCAGGAATTAATTAAATAATTTTCCCAGGGAGTAAAGCGTGGCCAGCGCGTAAGGCTGACAATCTTACTGCCATCTTTGAGCCGATTGTCTAGATAATGTGGGACCCTCAACGTCTCACAACCTTATGGGCCTTCGCGGCCTATTACATGGACAGCTTTACTTTTTTTTACTTACAGGAAAACAAACGCACCTACAAGTCAGTGAAAAGGCCAAGTCAAAACTCGTTATAATTGCCTGTTAATGACCACCATTCAAGGGCCATTATGATTTTGTTGCCTTCTTCAGACTTCCCTACAGGAGATGGAATGGCATGTGTATGTCCACACCATGGAGAATTAGATTTTTTTTAATTCCCAATGTGAGATGTGCAGGCTTTCTTCACAATTCTCAGTCTTTCTCCATATTCTGAAGTGTATGGACGTGACCTTTGCACGCTCCAAGACATAGTTTGGAGATCAATTAATAATTTGTAATTGTAAGCATTGAAGTACAATAAATTAAACAGTGTGGTTTGGAGAACAATAAGTTAATTATATATCAAGCTGCATCAGTTCACAGTATACTGCTTAAATCGGCATCGCTACCGAGTCTCACTGCTAACCGACCCTGCTAGGTTCACGTACCTATACCAACCTTCCTTAGTTCTATCTGTAAGGACCATTTGCAGTGGCCATCATGCACCATCTGAAGGTGGAAACGGGTGTAGTAGGGACAGCACTGTTCTGACTGGGCTGATATTACAAAGGCGGGTTGGAAAAGAACGGTGTTACCCTTGAGTTAAGGTAATTCATTTCATGCAAACTGTTCATGATATGAGAATTCATAAATCGAAAATGACATTCCTATTCTCGCCCACAAACCATTGAGGACTCCGAGATAATAATCAGAATTCACTGTTTGACCTTCTGGCAGAAATTCCTTGTGAATGATTCCTTTGGAATCGAACTGAATAAAACGGTTAGCAGTGTCTTTACTCAACTCTTTTGCATGCGCACTTTCTTTGGTTTCAGCTTCTTTGGGCTCAACCATGCTGCACTCTGCTGCTTTGTGAGAGGCTCATATTGAAAACACCATGTCTCGCCACCAGTAACAATCGATTTTGTAAATTTTGTACCACTTTGGGCTGACTGTAACATGTCTTTGCAGTGTTCCACTCTTGCATGTTTTTCAACGCCCCTCCCCTCTTCTCTCTACTCGTACTACTCATGCTCTCTCATACTCCTGCACTGGTACTCATGCTATCACCTGCTAGCACTTCACAAGGTAGAAGTCGCGAGGAGCAGCCCTCATCTCTGGCTCTGTTGTCACACTTGCAAGCTCCCCAGGATGTTCATGGGGTATCCAAGCATTTACAGAGGACATAACATATATGCAGGCTTTCAAAACAAACAATAACAATATTTAATCACCAAGATAACAAAAAAAGAAACACACACACAATATACAGAAATAAATAAGCAAGGCATAAAACTCAAAAGGGCAAGGCACAAGAACCCAAAGTAGCGATTGCCCAAGTAATCACAGGTTATGGACAGTCGTAACAAATCGAAACCCAGATTGCACCATTTCCACCAGCCTCATTAAAGCCATTGAACAGGTTACACTAAAATTCAGCAAAAATAAGAATTAGAATAATACAAAAAAAAATTAACATGGTCGCAACTGCACTGGAATCAAGACTATTCTGTTGCAACCGCAGGCAGCCTTACCCTTACCAGCCGGACAGAGATTCTCGAAACATAACTTTAGAAATACAAAGTCTGAAACAGAATTTCAGTTCCTAGTCCTCTGGCAGGCGGTAAGCAACACTCTTGACTACGCAGTCACACACACTTCCTTCCAAGACATCATGGAGACGGAAGGAAGGTCACATGGTCTAATATAGGAAGAAATAACGGTAAAGACGTTAGCATAATGGCGGTGGGGATGAGGTTAAGGAATGGCAGGATGCAACACACATGAGCCAGCTGAGTACAGCATGGTTCATTTGGGCTCAAACACACTACACACTGCTGCTTTGTGAGAGGCTCATATTGAAATCACCATGTCTCGTCACCAGTAACAATCAATTCTGTAAATTTTGTATCACTCTGGGCCAACCGTAACATGGCTTTGCAGTGTTCCACTTTGGCATGTTTTTCATCACCTGACAGCGCGTGCAGTACAAACCGTGAACAGACCTTCCGTTTGCCCAAATCCTCGGTCAAAATTTGATGCACAGTACTTTTTAGTATTCCCAAAAGTTCCTCGATGAATCTTGCAGAAAAACATCTGTCTGATGCAAGGATTTCGGTCACTTTTTTCACATTTTCTTCAGTGTGACTTGTTCTCGGCTTTGATGCACGTGGAGCATCTTCAATGTCCTCCCTGCCATCACGAAATGCAGCACACCATCGAAAAATGTTCGAGCGACTCAAACAATCACTACCGTACACACTTTTCTTCATTTTGTATGCTTCTCTGCCTGTTTTGCCTAACTTCAAACAAAATCTGATGTTGGCTCTCTGTTCAACCGCCATTTTCCGACGAGCGTCAGAACAGTACTGTTACATTCAAGGTCAGAACACGTGATGCAGCGACTTGCGCTTTGAAATTATAGACAGCCACAGCTGAAACTTCAAGAATCTTAATGCCACAACTCGGCAACAGATGGCATTACAGGGCAAAATTTAAAAAAATGAGTCCTAACAGATCCTGGACACACCATGTATGTTACACCCCCAGTAAACCTGACAAAACTGTTGTCTTCAAAATTCAAAAGAGTTCAGTGAAGGAGTGATGTGATTATGGAGGTGCTAAACCTTACGTTTTGCAGGCAGACGATATCCTGCTGTAATTTTGGAATTTCCTTCTTCACATCCACCCAGGGTAGCGCATTCAGCCTTCAGTGAGGGCCCAGCAGCAGAGTGGATTGCACCATCAACTACACAAGTAACATTTACTATAAAAATTCCAACATCTGAACAAATTTAATGAATATACAAACAGATAAAGATAAATTTGTTTTCACTATTTGGAAAACTGCAATCAATGTCAAGTACCCTGTGACAGTTAACACAGCTTTCTGGTTTATTTTACTGATGCTGGCAATATCTAGACTATGTGGTGCCAATGATGGGATGATTAATGGAATTGGAAAGGATCTGGCAGGAGCAGGTATGCCCTAATCAAGATATGCCAGCATTTGCCCAAAGGGACTGAGGAAAAGACAAGGAATTTCAGTCAGAATTTCTGGCATCCTAGCAGAGATTCAGACCAAGCACCTCCTGAATATGACTATAGAGCATTACTGCTATACCAATCTGCTTGGTGTAAAGGTAGCCTGCTCCAACAATTATATTCACCAGTCAAAGAGTGTGACAGCCGCATGGCCACAGATTTGGGGCAAGGTCATTACAATAAAGCTATTTGCCCAATGTGCAAATAAAAAAAAAATATTTTAACCATTTCTGCCCTCATTCTGAAACCTCAGGTCATACTATTTTACAACATGAAGAAATATTTTGTACTGCTTCATAAAAACACGAACTTTTAAAACTATGTTAACATATTTTAATTAAAATATTGGTACTTATGGCACTTCAAGATATGCATGGTCTTGACTGCCTCTTTGCATTCCTCAGTTACCGAGCAGGTTGTTTCAAGTGCTAACATTTCTGGTTTGTACTTGTGAGATGCCCCAGTCTCAGCAGGGAAATCAACTAACCCGACTGAAGTTTTTATATTGTTTTCCTCAGCTCCTCAAGGCAAAAGCTGGGGGCAGCACCTCAAATTATACCACAAGCACTTCTTTCACATACTTTTCAATTCATTATTCATTAATCATACCATCAAGGATGCTGTATAATCTGGGCTATTGACACTGTCAAATAAACCATAAAGGAATAAAGAAATTACTCAGTGTGCTCTGTACAGAGGCAAGTTTTCTTTCAATTCACTTTCTATTTCTTTTATTCTGCACATTACTGACAGCCTCCTTTGTGACAAGAAACATGGATATTATACATGTGTTTGACTCTATTAGCACCAGTCATATGGGAATCACCAGGAGATGCTGAAAACTTTGCAAGTTTTTGGACACTTTGGCTGGGAGTTGAAATCCAAGACTGAGACACTTTCAAGTGATTAACACAGGACAGGGTTAAAGTTACAAACAATACTGTGGCGTGTAGACCCGCTGCTAGGCAATAACCTTGGAAGAAGCAGCAATACAACAGCCACTGCTAAGTAAAAGCTTCATAAACAAGCATATTTCCATGACAACCACTGCACAGCAATAACGGAATGGTGTTTTATGTACAGTCCATGCCGAGATGTTATAAGCAGGACAGTTAGTGAGAGTCAGTTGAGAGCTGAGTTGAGTTGAGTTTGAGTTGAGTTGGTTGGTTGGTGAGTGAGTGAGTTATTCAGTCAGTCTGTGAGTCAGAGAACTGCTGAAGTTCGGCTGTTGTGAGAAGCTGGTAGCTGAGGCCTGAGACAGTTCAGAAACCCAGAGGAAGGGGAACGTCCACCATTGAAAGCCGTTACCAGAAGACTGCTGATGACACAGCAGACTGAGAAGGCTCAAGTGTGTGTCCCAGCAAACTGTAAAAGTGTGTGACTTAGTGAAACAGTTGTCATTACTTATAGTCATGGATCTGTAAGAGTTCAATAAATCTGATTACCAATCCAAACCTTGTCTACAGTCACACTCAAACATGTGACAACATTTAACCAATAAATTCATGCCTTGCCCCCTTTTTTTCATTTAAACCTGCTAAAGGTCTCTTTCTACAATACACAATTTCAGAATTGTTGGGTTTTCAGACTCTGTCCATCGCCCAGTATTCTAGAAACTAGAAAACACATTTCGGGAACTGGATCTGTTTGTCCTCAAGTGTGTGTGTGTGTGTGTGTGTA